TGCCAGTGTTGTCACTTTGGAGTTACAGTGAAAACTCGCCCAGCCAGCGCCGGTAACAAGCTCGTTAAGACGACGTCAGCAGCAGTGAGTGACGGTACCGTGATGCAACACAAGAGGGCGCCATTTGTCAAGCTCACCGCTCACAAGAAGTCAAGCACAGCAGCAACAACCTTGTATAACTGAAGTAAGGTGGAAAATAAGAAAGGACAGTGTTAAAGGTAGAATAAGAGTGGTTTAAGTGAAGTTTAAAGCCACAATAAGTTTCTATAACACATTTGTCAAAAGGTTACTTACTTTCTACTAAACTTCAAAGTAATGCATTGTTGTTGAGGAAAGAGTGTTGTGTTTATCTTGAAGTCAAACTAATTGTGAAGCTAACAGAGTTCTTTAAATTGAAATGCATCTGTATAAGTGTGAAGCTCATTACATCTACGGTATAAAGTAATATTCAAGTCACATAAGTTAGAAATTTGAACGAGTGTTTGCAATTTNAAATGGAGATATGAAGCAAGACTAAGCAAAGTAATACTAAGAAAAGAAGCTTCAGACAGTGAATTAAAGGAGCTCATTAACAATGTAAACGTCACCTGCAGAGATATGCAAACCATTTATGAAGAAATACGACAAATACAAATGCCTGATGCAGACTCAAGGCGCAAAGTGGATGCATGTACATCACTTTCAGCATTCATTGTCAGAAGAGCTGAGAAACAACTGCAAGGAGACTTTGCAGAAGGTGACAAAGAGCCATGGCCAGATTTTGGGTCATGTTTGGGATCTGAAAGTATGACATCAAGGTCAAAATCCAGAAGGTCTAAAAGTAGCTCAGGTACTTCGCAAACAACCAAGAGATTGGAGGCAGAGGCTGAGGCAGCTGCATCTCAAGAAATATTAGCAGTAATGGAAGAGCAAGAAAAGGAAACTATTGAGTTACAAAAACTGGAACGTGAGAATCTGGAAAGGCAGCAAGCAATGGAAGAGCAGCGAAGAAAGATTAAACGCTTGGAAGAAGTAAAAATTTTTAATGCTGCAAAAGCACGAGTAAGGGTTTATGATGAAGCTGAAAGTTTTTCTGCAAGTCAGAGTTCATCACAGAGCATTAAAGCAGAAAGTGAAATCCAAGCAATTCCTGTCACAGCACACAGTTCTTCTCCAGTTCTAAATGTAACCCAGTTCCATAACACTACAAGCATTGTATCTGTGCCACACATTCCTACAG